CCTACTCTGGCATTGCACCTCTTATCCTCGGTTTCGCTACGATCGGCTTTTCCCTTATCTACGTTGCCTTCAGGTACAACTTCCTTTACGTGTACGAGACCAACCTGGACACCAAGGGCGAAGCCTACCAGAAGGCTCTTCGCCAGCTCATGACCGGTATCTACCTGTCTGAGATCTGCCTGATTGGTCTGTTCGCTATTGCCACGGCCAAAAACATCCAGGCCGTCGGTCCCTTGGCCATCATGTGCCTGCTCCTCTTCCTCACCCTCGTCTTCCAGTTCACTCTGAAATTCGCCCTGAAGCACGAAGAAGCTCGCCTGGCCTACTGTGACCCGTCCCCGGCCCACGGCAGCGTCACCAACGGCCACCACGAGGACGGCATGCACACTCAGAACGGCGAGAAGGTCCACACCACCGACGCCACCCCCAACTACGCACCCAAGGCCACCCGCATGCCCGGCTTCCTGGCCAAGATGTTCAACCCCGAGAAGAACTCGATCCACAACCTCTCCGCGTCCCTCGACCAGTTCTACCACCACCCGCAAGAGCCCTTGCCCATGGAGATCCAGAAGCGCGCCTTCTTCAACCCCTCCGTCACCAGCCCCACTCCCGTAATCTGGATCGTCAAGGACGACATGGGCATCAGCACGCGCGAGATCAGGGACACCCAGAAGACCGTCCCTGGCCTCGTCATCACAGACGAGCAGGCTACCTTCAACGAGAAGGGCAAGGTGTACTGGAAGGGTGTTGAGGACGGCCACTCGCGCGAGGCACCCGTCTTCGACGAACGTATTGTGTACTAGTGGATGGTCTTCTTTCATTTCAGCTAATGACGATGGAGTTCGATACCCAAAAAGGGATGAAACGTTTTTTCCTTGACTTGTTTTTGCGGATGAGCAGAGCAGCGATGGCGAATGAGGCGTGTGTTTTCAATTCTATAAATGAGTACCCCTGCTACTTTAGCTATATAGTTCCTAGTAATGATCACTGAATTGCGCATTCAATCTGAAGATATACATGCCTGTGCGCTTTGTGTGATGATGCTGCTCAGTGGCTCTGCGTAATGGTGTGTATTGGGTATCATGCAACTATCCTCTTCACTCGATGGTGATGAAATTTTCAAACCGCGCCTGCCCTCCTCTTCTCCAGAATCTGCAGCTTCAACCCTTCAGCCGCGACCTCGGTCTCCAGGACTCTTCCTACACCCTTCTTCCACGTCTCCTCGAGCGTCTTGAGCTCAGCACCCGCGCTATCCTGCTGCGACCTCCTCGCCATCTCCACCTCTTCTTGCTGCTTGCCCAAACCCGCCAGCTCAGCCTCGACGCCCTTGAGTATATCCTCCAGCTGCGAGTTGCCCACCAACCACGCGTTCTTCCCGAATTTCTCCAACAGCCCCAACTGCGTCAGCCTGCCCTGCACATACTCCGAGCTCGTGTACGCCTGCTTCAGCGCCTTATTCCACCGCTCCAGCAGCTCTGGCCTCTCCTCGTCGCTCGTCGGGGTCGTGCTCTCGGGCGCATCGAGATCCTCATAGCGCTTCAAATCGACGCCAGACAGCTTCGACGTAGGATGGTCGTCGAGGCGCGCATGCTCGCGCGTGATGAAGTCGGAAAAGGTGGGTGTGTATTTCGTGGCTGCTGGTATAAGCGCCGGATGCATGTCTGTTGTGTCTACGCCCGCGGCTCTGATATCGGCGTTGATGGCATGTCTGGCTGCGACCAGGCTCGCAGCTGAGAGCTCCGTATCGACGTCTACATGCAGTTAGCGAGGCAATAACGGGGTTATCAGTCCAGATGGAGCGCGTGACTGGGCGCATCGGACATGGTTGCTGTGTTGGGGCAGGAGCAAATTGGACGTACAAGGGAGATGGTCGTAGGATTCTTGGATGAGGGGCATGGCGGGCAAGCGACGTGCAGCGGGCCGGGATAAGGGCGAGGTGGATGGCAGATGGTGTATTGGATGCGCAGGTGAGGTGGAAGGGTGTCGCGAAACTAGAGAAGCAGGCCTGCACGGGTAGATTTAGGCACTGATCGCGTCCGGGCTCCCCGCCAACCAGACGGCGAGGAACCCCGCAACGTCATGCAATGCAGGTGCCAGGCGCGACTGTCAAGCTTCGCGCTGCTGTGTGGCCAGAGGCGATACTTTTCCTGCCCTGTCTATCTCTCTTCCCTGCTAATTGACTCTACTCCCATGTGCAACCCTCTACACCTACACGTCTGGCACGCGTAGCTTCCGGTGCCAGCAGTAGCGTACAAGAACCTCGCCGCGCCCCGTCCAACGGCTTCCAGCTTCTTTCCGCACACTTCCGCCCAGACATCTCTTCGCGTCCATGGCGCGCTCACACATCGCAGTCGCACTGGGTGCGGCCCTTGTTGCCTCGTTGATCATTGCCCAGCTCGTTATCAACCTCGGATTCCCCGTCGTCGACTTCTGGCATGCGCGCCTCGATCAGACGTACACTGGAGCACAGCAGGATGTCTTCAACAGCGAGAAGCAGGATGGAGGTCAGGCCGGTGACGCTTCTTCGTACCTTGTCGGCGTTGGCAAGGCGGATATCACTGGGTATGTGGCGAGAATATACTGGGTGTGAATGTACTGACGTCGCCACAGTCCCGTCGTCGAGCTCAACATGATGGGCTATGCCAACTCGTCGCAAATCGGATCTGGACTCCGCCAACGCCTCTACTCCCGCGCCTTCATCGTCGGCAGCCCGGACGAAGCCAGCGAACGCTTCGTGTACCTCGTCCTCGACACACAGTCTGGAGATACTGCCATCCGGAATGGCATCTTGGAAGGGCTTCAGGCCATGGGCTCCGAATACGCTGTATACGGGAAGAACAATGTCGCCGTGACAGGTACGCACAGTCATGCCGGACCAGGAGCCTGGTTGAACTACCTCCTTCCGCAGATCACGAGTCAGGGTTTCGACAAGCAGAGCTATCGTGCGATTGTGGACGGAACACTTCTGTCTATCAAGAGGGCGCATGAAGGCCTTACCCTGGGAACTGTCAGCGCTGGCAGTGCAAAGATTGCTGATGCGAACATCAACCGCAGTCTCTTCGCCTACCTCGCCAACCCCCAAGCAGAACGCGATCGCTATACAGACAATGTGGACAAGACCATGACACTTCTGAAGTTCACGAGAGCCAGTGATGGAAAGAGCATTGGAATTCTGAATTGGTTCCCTGTCCACGGCACCAGCATGCTTGGAAATCAGACGCTCATTGTTGGAGACAACAAGGGCGTGGCCGCATATTTGCTGGAGAAGGATATGGAGGCCAATGCGGCCGACTCAAATGCTGCCGAGGGCTTTGTGGCAGGCTTCTCGCAAGCCAACGTCGGTGACACGACGCCCAATGTGCTCGGTGCGTACTGTGAAGACGGGTCAGGCCAGCAGTGCCGACTCAACGACAGCACCTGCGGAGGAAAGAGCCAGGACTGCCACGGTCGTGGACCGTTCTTCGGCCTGGACGACGGAGGCCACAAGTCCTGCTACGAGATCGGTAGGCGTCAGGCCGAGGGTGCCAGGAGCATCTACGACTTCAATGCCTTCACGCCCATCTCTGGCAAGGTCCGCTCGTTCCACACCTATGTCGACTTCTCCAACTTTACTTTCACCCTTAGCAATGGATCCGTCGTCCACACATGTCCCGCAGCCATGGGCAACTCCTTCGCAGCCGGCACATCCGACGGCCCCGGCGCCTTTGACTTTGTCCAAAACGACCCCGGCGCGCCCTCGAATCCCTTCTGGAACCTCGTCGGCAGCGCCATCGCACCACCAAGCAAAGAGCAAAAGGAGTGCCAGTACCCGAAGCCTGTCTTACTTAACGTCGGACAAGCCAACTTACCATACCCCTGGTCCCCAAACATCGTCGACATCCAAGTCCTCCGAGTCGGCCAACTCGTCATCATCGTCTCCCCCGGTGAAGCAACAACCATGTCCGGCCGCCGCTGGCGCGAAGCCGTCCACAACGCCCTCATCTCCTCCGCCATCGCCACCTCGCCCATTGTCGTACTAGGCGGCCCAGCAAACAGCTACACGCACTACATCGCCACGGAAGAAGAATACAGCATCCAACGCTACGAAGGCGCTTCCACCCTCTACGGCCCCCACACCCTAAACGCCTATATCAACTCCACCCTGTCCTACCTCCCCTACCTATCCGACTCCTCCCTCCAACCCCCTCCGCCCGGCCCCTCGCCCCCGGACAACCGCGACAAATCCATCTCCCTCATCACCGGCGTCGTCTACGATGGTGCTGGCTTCGGCCGCTCCTTCGGCCAAGTTACAAAAGACGTCCTGCCTGTCTACGCCCGCGGCGCCACCGTCTCCGCGACGTTCGTCGGCGCGAATCCCCGCAATAATCTCCGTCTTGAAGGCACGTTTGCTGCTATAGAGAAACAGAGCAGTGATGGTGATGGTGGGGAGTGGACGCAGGTTAAGAACGACGAGGATTGGGAGGTCGTGTATCAGTGGAAACGCGTTAATGGGCTTACGGGGACGAGTGATGTTACTATTAGCTGGGATACGGGGATTATGGGGGTTGAGGCGGGGAGGTATCGGATGAGGTATTATGGGGATGCGAAGAAAGTTGGGGGAAGTATTGAGGAGTTTGAGGGGGTTAGTGGGGTTTTTGAGGTTCAGTGATGGGGTGTGATGGGTTGGTATTGTATATGAATGTCATGTGATATGTGGGGATGGGGAAGGATGGTGTAGTTTATACCCGGTGTTGGTCAGAGAATGAATGATTTACATGCTGCTTCTCAACTTTGGACGTGTGACAGTATGTGTCAGAGAGGAATGGGGTGACGTGACATACGATGTTCGGTCAGATATGCCGTGATTATCATAATCTGACATCATCGCGATTGCTCGTATCTCTGCTTACGATGGGTGTTGCTCACTCCTCCATGCGATCTCTTAATCCTTCTTCACACTTCGTGACGAGTATTGTCCACAAATACAGAAGCTTTCCTTGTCGTTCATCACACCGTCTGTGCTATTCCTCGTTCTCAAACTCCATGTCTTCATCCTCAACCTTGATGAGTTGTCTAATCGGTAGATCACGACTTCCTGGCCAGCCTGTCATACCAACCTCCTGCTCGATGACCTGGTGTGAGCCACTATGCACTTCTCCACTGTTGTCCTCCGCCCTCCTAAGAGCCTTCTGCATCCTCCTAACCATCACCCTGTCCTTTCCTTGCTCCCTTGAAAGCAGTTTCTCCAGAGCTTCAACATCGGCGTCGTTGTTATCACCGGCGCGAGCATCACGTATAGCGTTCTCGCCCTGCCGACATGCTTCCTTTAGTTCTTGCTCCAGCCGGGTTATATCCGCTCTTATTGCTATTTTAGTACTTTCTCGCTTCGTGACAAGGGTCGGTTCGGGTTCTTGACGAGGAGGCGAAGGTTGTGTATTCAGTGCACCCGCTTGTGAGCGTGCTCTAAGTTCTGCTATCATCTTGCGGGTGTCAGAGAGCTCTTGCTGGATCTGAGAATCCCGGATATCTTTTTTGCCCGGCTGATAGCTCATCGCCTCGACTTTTCGTTTTTTCTCTGCTAGGCGCACTCGCTTTGGTGGTTGCTGGGGGTCTCTCGCTCTGTGTCTTCGTTTGCGCGCGGAATATGGAATCTCTCGAAGTCGATTGCGGGCATTCTCTCGTCTATAGGACCTAAGAGTCGTCTATTAGAGTTGTAGTTAGTATATGCATTGGAAAATTGTAGTGTGTCATTCGGTGAGCTGATTAGTAGACTAAGTGAACTCACCTCGCCAGATGGTCCGGCTTTGGGAATAACAGTGGGATTGCGCTCCTCGAGGTCTTGCTCCTGCTTTAGTGGTATCCAGTCTTCGAGCTCGTCATCCTCCTTCTCATCCTTGACTTGCGTTGCGTACTGCTGATAACGTTCCATGATAGCCAGGTCGCCGTTGCGAGTTAGGGCTGAAGTGGTGTGGATAATTTCAGATTGGAGAAGCGGGATGTTGTGAAGTTAGCTAGCGCGCACGTGGCGAAGTTCACGAACGGGGGATTAGCGAAGTGAAGGTGAGTGCGCTACCGAGAAGGTACGATAACGATTGGACACATCGCGGGTGACTAGAAGAGAACATCTCAATGCAAATTTCAAGCCATGATAACTTCTGTATGAGAGCTTCGCATCACTGTGCAGCTTTTCGCATATGTCTTGCGTTGCTCGCTATCATTCATCCTCCATCAACTCTTCATCCTTGATGAAGACTCGTTCCGCGACCTCTGCATCCTCAAGTATCTCTCCTTCCTCAAGCTCCTCTTCACTCTCCTCAGACGGATATTCCTCGAAACCAGTAAAGCGGTATAACCGATCCGCAGCCTCGCGCAACCGCTCTTCAGCCTTCCTCCTTTTTCTTCCTTCCTCTTTCAGCTTCTTGCCCTGATTCTGTAGGCTAAGATTCAACTCTCTGTTACGAGCCTGTTCAGCTGCAACGTTGACCCATAGTTGCCTTATCATTTCCTGGTCTTCCACGTCTTTCTTGTGCTCGATGCTGTTGTTGTACGTTTCAGCGTTGCGCTTTGTGGTTTCGGCCTCTTGCTGCATCTCCTCAAGTCTCTTCTGCAGTTGAAGATTCTCCAGTAACAAGTGCTTGATAGTGCCAGGCTTCTTTGGAGTGGTGATAGCCGCTTGGGTGAAGATGAGGTTTTTCTCAATGTCCTTCATTCGCTGTGCTGAGAATTCTTTGTGAGCCTGTCTGAGCTCCGTTTCGAGACGTTGGATGCGATTTTTATCCTTCGTTGTCTGTCTAACTCGTTTGGGTTTCTTGTTGATCTTTCGCTGGGTGGAGATCATGTCGTTCTGATGATGTACGATTAGCGCATGCCATCAGATATAGCAGTGTACTGATTCTAGGAGCTTGCCATACAAGCAGGTGCACTTACGTGATCGATTGGCTCGACTTTGGGAACGACAGCGGGGAAGCGCTCCTCAGAAAAGCGCTCTTGCTTCACTGGTACCCAAATCCCGAGCTCATCATGCTCTTCTTTGATTCGCACCCCGTGCTGCTGATGCGGATTCATGGTCGTAGAGGCGCCGTTGTGGCGGGGGATTGAGGTGGTGTGAAGAAATCAAACTCAGAGGCGGGGTGATGATGAGGTGAGCGAGCGCGCACACGTGGGAAAGTTTTTTTTGATGAGGAAGGAGCGAGGTGAAAGTGAGTGCGTTGCCGAGGAGGCGCAATGACGAGGACACATTGGAGGCAGGCGCCAGCGCAAGTGACGAAACCTCGAAGTCTGCAAATGTCCACGATTAAACGAGCATACCACAATGCGGAGTTCTAGCCATGATAACTCAATGCTTTCGAGCGCGGTGTAGACCGGTCCCCCAACCCACACCATTGCGCCAACCCAAAAGAAACTCGTGATATCATCCCACTACCTAGGTACCTCCCCATCATGACCACTAATCAACAGTCCCCCACTGCGGCGGCCCACCCTCAATCTGCCTAACCTCCTTCTGCCTCTTAACATTCCTCTCATAATGCTCCTCCTTCTCCTTCAACATCCGCCTCTCCACCCCAGCCCTATGCTCCAACTCCTGTTTCCGCTGCTCAATCATCTTGCTCTCAGCCGCCATAGCCTCTCTCAGTTTCCTCTCCTCTGCACTCGCCCGTGCAGCAGCGGCATCGCGCTCTTGCTCTTGTACCAAGTTGTGCCAAGCCACTCGTTCAGACCGCTTCATACGCTCCGCCTCCCTTACGCGGTGGACTTCGAATTCGTGTTTTTGCTGCTCCAGGGCGGTGTGGTGTTGGGTTGCTTTGGTTTGGAGTTCCAGTTCGACGGTTTGGCTCTCGCGCTTGCGTCGTAGTATGTCTTTATGGCTTGTTTCCTCGATTGTGCGAGTGTGCTCGAACTTCTCCTTCTCGTGGCGGATAGAGAGCTCGTGTTCCTTTTGCTTGTCTACGAGTTTGGCGATTGCGGGTGGGATGCCTGTTGCGCCCACGGGTTGGAGTGCCGACGAGGAATAGTAGACTGGGAGACAGGCTTTGTCGCGAAGGAGATCGAGTAAGGCCCTTTTGACGGGAGCGCGGGCGGGTGTAGCGATTAGCTCAACGTAGGAGTAGGGTGAGTAATGGAGGCCTGAGGCTGCGTCACAGTAGATGTGTGCTTCATCGTTGAGGTCTTGCCATATCTCTGTCTCTAGCAGAGCCTCCGTGATGGGAAGGGCGCTGTAGGCATTGTCGAGCGCGAGGATGACACTGGACTTCTCATTGCGAGCGCGGAATTTGGGGTTTACGCGTTTGGTCAGGAGGAGACGCAGTAGCTGGCGAAACTTCGAGCGATGCGCGGATGTGGAGACTCTAGCGTTGAGACATATCTCTCCAAGGACATTCCTGCCACCATGAAGACGGGAAGGATAGTTTGTATCATGAGCATGCTCCAACAATGTCCTCGTGACCTCGACGTTGAGTTCCCTCGCTGACTCATGTAATGCACCATCATTTGCTAGCGAGCATGGCGCTAGTAACTTCACTGTGGCTTCCCCAGACACACTGCTGCTAGCGTAGAAGAGTGCGGATTTGTTCCAGACATCCCGAAGATCCGCATCCGAACCCCGCACGACTAGTGCGTTCACTATCTCATGACGCCCCTCACGAGCGGCGAGCATAAGTGCCGTAGTCTCCGAAGCGGCAGAAAGTCGGTCAACGGATGCTCCAGCTTCCAAAAGGGCGGAGATGACGGCGTCCGAAATGCGCTTTTGTGGTTGAGCTAATGCCCAAAGCAGTGCGGGCACAGTTTCGGGTCCGCAGGACGAATGGAGAACCGTGGGGATGGTTATTTCCGGATTCAAGCCGTGCTTCAAGAGTAGCGTGATGAGCGCGCTGTTGCGTGGGTACACAGTCATGGTGGTGATGAGTATCGGTGGCTTGTTATAGCCGACACCGAGCTGTTCAAGTATGCAACCGTGATCGAGGCATGACTGTATTGCGGCAACGACTACTTCGTCTTGGAGCTTGGAACTCAATAACGCTGCAATGACGACGTTGAACTTGGGGTTGTGACGCATGAGCTTCTCAAAGATGGTGTGACTGTGCTTTTGTGCTGCGAAGACGAAGCATGCCCCATCCGCCGTGTTGACATCCGCGTGATATTGAAGCAACAGATCAATCCAGGGCTCCGTATACTTACTATGCTCGTTGCTGAGGACGAGTCGCAGAGCTGCGTCGATGGCAGACTGTTCTACTCCACGGGCCAGTAGCTCTTGTGCCATTTCACCAATGCTTCCTTTCTTTCCTTCCAGCATCAACTTCTCGTCGGTGAACAATGTACGGAACGACCTCGTGACGTTAGATCGTGATGGTTGGTGACGTCCACTGAGTATTAATGCCATTAGCGAGCTGTTTCCTGAAGCTACCGCAACACTCAACGCTTCGCCATCATTGTGACTCACAGATGCTCCTTGTCCCAACAGCAACCTGGTACTGGTTGTGTCATTTGTGGCAACGGCCTGTCGTGTCTCCGCGGCAAGGGCTTGGTCCAGAGCGTCTTGTGGTACTCCTAGCTTCAGTAAAGCATTCAGTATTGGTGCCTTCATGTGAGGATCTTCAATCGCTGTCGTGTACTTGAACGCGGTGCTTAGCAGTCTAGGGCTGGCAGTGAGCAGCCGCTCGATGATATCAATGTTGTCGGGGCCGCCATTGATGGCAATCTGTAAGGTCTGACTGGCTGGCTCTTCTTCAATTCCATGGTTCAGAAGCAAGTCAATGATCTCGAGTGTTTTTGAGTGTCTGCCCGCTCGTGAATCAAATGCTAGAGGTAGGGCTGCCGACGTCGCTGAGGAGTTGGGTCTAGTGTTGCAGAGTAGACGCAGAAGAGAGATGTCGACTTGTGTCACTGCGAGCGACAAGGCTCTTTCGTCAACATTTGCACCTTTGCGAACGAGGTCTGTTATCAGGGCCCCATCCCGCCCAGCCGACGTGTCCGCAATTGCATTGACTAGAGCTTGATCAACACCAGGACCACTTGCACCGTGCTCTAGTAATAGCCGCGCAATTTCACGTCGCTCCGATACCGAGATCCCATCAGTACGGAAGATGAGCGGAAACACGTTCGCTAGGGTCTCTGGTGGGGGGCGAGCGTTGAGAATTGACTTGAGTGTTCGGATATCTCGATTGACCACTGCAAAATGAAGTGCGCCGTTGTCGCCTGAATCGACAGGCGCGCCAGCACCAAGAAGGAGATCGATCAACTGAGTGTCTTTCTCCTTTGTGGCTTGCGTGAGCAATCGACCAAGAGGCAGACCTGCTGCGCCTTTCTTTAGCAAGGCATCGACTACGCGAAGTCTATCAGGCTGTGGGGTGTTGGTCGGCAAAACAGCAAGCGCTGCTGTTGCATGCAGAGGGGCGATGGGGGTCTGGAGAATAGCATCCACCAAGCTCCAGTTTGAGTTTTCGACAGCCTCTCTCAGACACTCGGCATCGTCAGCGGTGGTTGGTACGCCATAGCTGACCATCATCTTCGCGCCAGCAGTGTCGTTGCTTCTTGCCAGACAGATGAGGAAGTCCGGTAGACCACGACTATCGGGAGGTAGCCCGCAGCAAAACAAGAGCTGTAGGAACTGCAGCGTTGCTTGTCGCGTTGGTAGCCTCATGGTAGTGTCGAGCGCATGTTGCAGGTTCGGTTCGTTAAGACGGATCGGGCCAGCGACCAGAGCGATGGCCAGCTTGTAGGCCTGTCTTCCAATCGCCATGTTGAGAGCGCTTGCGGAGTCGAAATTCGGGTCAGCGCCGTATGCTATCAGCAGAGATATGACAGCATCCGAGCCTTGCTGAACCGCTGCAGGTAAGCAAGAATTGATGATCTGAGCACGCAGTGGCTTTGGAGCTCGCAACAAGAGCTTGACGAAGTTCAGGTCATTCGATCGGACCGCATTGGCCAAAGCAT